AGATAAAACTTCTAAATAAAATAAAATTCTACTTAAGGCCAAAGTTCTAAATTTAAGTTAAAATCCAATTTTAACGCCAATGTAAGAACTTGTGAATTTTAAATAAAATCCTAATTTTTATCAAAATTCAAAAGAGAGGTCAAATCCATTCGAAAATTAAATTTAAATTCTTTTTCAAAATTGTATTCAAAACCAATTTAAAAAATTGCATTTCGATCCAATTTAAAATTGTAAACAGATTGCCCTTCGATTTTTCAAATTGTAGAATAGGCCCCCTCTTACAAATTGAAAACTGAACCCTTGAACCAAAATTAAAGGAAGGGGCTCGTAATTACATAAATTTAAACCCTTGGTGACGAGCAATGTCGCGTCTAACAAAGTAACGACAATGCGATGTCGATGTCTCACAATGATGGTACACCGCCTGGTATAACAGTATCGCAACCAACAATAGTGATGCTCGCTGTTGCAATGCTTAACAGTAATTGTTGTCGTTGCAACGTACAGCCATGACTGTTGTCGTTGCATTTGCCCGTAGTGCGTTGCGGCGTTGCCTTATGCGTGGTGATGCACTTTGTTGTGCTCACTATTGCCCATGTCCGACGCCTACCGCTGCCTCTAGATCGTCGTTTATCAACTATTGTTCCTACCCATTTTTCGATCCAACAAATTATTTTCTTTTTCAAAACAAATATTGAAAGATGAAAATTAAAAAAAAAAAAAACACACACACACACACAACCGACCATTGATTGTTCCCAAAGATTAAAAAATAATTTCCAGCAAGCAAAAAATAAGTTTTGATATAACTGTTGAGAAATTACTTAATTATGCATAGTGAAATCTAAATATAATTCCAATCCCCAATAATGATCTGTTTTGTGTTTAGATAGAAACTGTGATTAGTATTATGCATTTCGTTAATTATGTGAGGAACAATTATGATCTACAGTCATAGATATTTAATTATTCACTCTCTAATGGTAATCCACATAAGAGTACAAGAATGAGAGAAAATGATTTCTTTATATTTTATTTTATTTTATTTTTTTGTTTTAGCAAGATGATGATTGTTTGTTTTGTTTTCTCAACACTAACATCTTCCAAATAGAAGTTCAAGTGGGTTTGGTTCATCACTTAAACTTAATCCAGTCCAATAATTAATTAATGTGGTAAATATAAAATTTCTATTTTGTCCTATTTGAAAATGTTAAAATTTTGGTCAAACTTAATTTTCTGATCAACTAATGAAATTATGGATGGCTTCTATACATTTAGACTTCAAATGCACGCATTTAAGATATTTTGAAAGATTTGAGACTATGAATGCAATTATCAAAATAATATGTGGCCTAAAAATATGGGATTTGTGATTAAATTTATAACTTTTACCTATAATTTATGTTGCCGTGACCGATAAATAAATAGTGATCAATTAATTTTACAATATGTAACCGTAAAATAAGTTGTGATCAATTAATTTAATAATTTGTGATCGTGAAATAAGTTGTGACCAATTAATTTGAAAATTTATTATTGATAAAGAAGTTGTCACTTATAAATCTGTGATTTGTCACTATGACATTCCATGATTGTGATTTAATAAAATATATTTGATTATTTATTCAATTATTACAACATGATTTTGGAGGAAATGTGTAACTAATTCTTTGGTTTAAGGGAAAATCTTTTTAAATATATTCTTTATCTACTATACTTATATATAATTTAGTTTAATAAAAAAATCTATTTAGGACATGATTTTTGAAAAAAAAAATCTCACGTTTATAAAAGTTGAAATTGTATATTTAAATATATATATTATATATATTTTTTCTTTAATCCACATCATCTTTCTGTATATCAATATATAATTTATAGTTGTGACTCATAAAATTTCTGATTTCTGAGTCTAAAATAACTTGTAACTAATTAGTTTGATAGCTATGATCAAATATTATAGAATTGTGACTTTAATATATTTAATTAATAAAATGCATTTTAATTAATTATCTCATAAATAAAATTAATTAATATCTAATTTTTGAAGTTTAAAACAATATTTCTTAATTTTAAAATTAATCATACTTGTTGACACCCGAACTCCGACCTAATAAAAACAGTTCGATAACCCCACCTCAGTTAAATGTAAGTTCCGCCCATACTCTCAGGTCGGACAAACCCGCTGTTATCTCAGAAAAATATCATTGTTCACGAAATAATTCTTTCAATTTAAAACTACCGCAAGTGTACGGTTCGTAACAAGTAATAAAGTGGATTTTTAAAAGTTCGAATATCGTCCCTAAGAGATTGAGTAGTTCAATTCTATTTAATCTAGCCTTAACCGAATCTAATTGAGTGAAAATGTGATCTAAGTGCAAAAAGCCCCAATTTCAATTAAAAACCCTAATTTCAACTAAAAACCCTAATTTCTCAATTAGAAACCCTAATTTCGAAATTTCTCTAATTAAACGACTTAAACACTCAAGTAAATGAAATTAAGCAAGTTTAAAAGCTAATTTATTAAAATGAATCAAATTAAAGTCACTAGGATCACGAATCCCCAATTGAAGTTATAAAAACCCTAATTTCATAAAATTAATGATTCGATGAAAATTTGCCAATTCAATGTTCCTATTCTATCCAATATACTCTCTCGATATATATTAGACCTATTCTTGCACACCACCAGCCTATATCTCTATGGATGCAAAATCATTTGTGAATAGCAATTTTCACGATTCAATGGGAAATGATACATTCCAATTAGTGGAACCAATGAGTTTCAAACCACCGTTTTCAGCATATTACTAAACTAAACAAACACCCAGAGAACTCACTAAATCTTTGAATTATAGAACCAAAATAATTTCACTTTAGTATTATCTTCAAAACCAAGAACGAAATTGAATACGAAAAGGCAAAATAAATGTACTAGGGAACGGAATTAGCTCTATTTTAGGGAGAGAACGATAATGAAACGATGCAATAGAAAATTACAACCTGCTTGTTGGTCTAGTGGTTTGCCGACGATGAAAGATTGGACTCCGTGAGACGGCGGAACCTTTGACGAAGGTACGATGCGATGGTGATCGGGGAGATGGTGAGGGGTTTGAAGGAAACCGGATCTCGTGGGTCAAGAGATGGTGGAACCCTCTAGCAACGTCGGGCGCCTGGAATTGTAGCCGGAGATGGAAAGATTTGCTTAGGGTTTTGAATTTGGAGGCATGGATTCGATTCTGTTTCTCGTCGTGCGGAGAGAGAGTTGTCTTCTACTTTCTGATTTTTCTGGCCCATTTTGTTTTGTTTAGTAAAAGTATTTTTTGCTCTTTTATCTTTTTTTTTTTTTAAAGTCAAAAAAGCCTTCTTCTTCTTTTTTTTTTTGTCAAAAAACCCAATTATTTATTTCCCTGTCCGTGAGCCTGTGCGAGTAGCGTGATCCGAATAATTGGCATACCTCCCTAGGACGACACTGTAGTTGATGGGACATGAGTCAGCTAGTGACGTGCTCGTTGTCCCTATAAATAGAAATGGTCCCCTCCAAAGCAGAGCTCAGTAAAACTGAAAAAAGCGGCACTATATAAGTCATAATCTTTTTTTATATATTTCTAATGTATTTCTACCTTGAGATAATTATTGATGACTCTCATTTTATCTTAGAAGTTAATCAAAAGTTTGTATTACTTTTTTTAACATCAACAGACATCAAAGTTACTCAAATTATCCATAAGCAACAAAATCACAAGTGATCTAATAATCACTAAATAGAGCAGAAACAAACCCAGTAAAGTAATCATTATACTTGAATGCATCGAAAAAAGGATCTTGGATAGAATCACTATCAACTGCATTCAAAATAAATCGGCATCATTGAACTTATGTAGAGACTTAATATCACAAATGGGCCTGTTACTAGCAATAGAATACAATGGCATGCTGATAATGATGGCAAATTCTTAATGAATCAGCACCATCAAATTCTTATTCCACATGATCTCTTGACACGAGGGTTGTTTCGCACTTAATTATATAATTACAGACCATCAATATTTAATTTCAATTATTAGTCTAAACATGTAGTACCTCGATTTACTAAATTATTCTTGAGTTCACCCACATGTTTTGTGTAGATATTTTTATGTTTATAGTTTAAAATCTTAATGAATTTAAGAAGCTCTTCAAAAATTTGTTAATCAAATTTTCATGATGAATTAACTATATCAACTCTAACTAATAAATAATTTTTTCTTTTAAATTATTATTCCTCTTTATGTTCTTATTATTTCTGTGTTCGAAGTAAACTAAATAATTCAGAAGTTCTTACAATTTTAGTTTTACTTATGTCGAAAAACTAATATTTTGTCCCATAAAAGAGTTCAACATCAGCCTTGATTGCTTTCAGATGTTGAATAATGTTATATATGATCTTTTATTTTTTATAAATAATTTATTTTTAGTCAAACTTTGTAAATACATAGTGGTTAAATTAATGAATTTAATAAGAGTAATATTGGAATGTACTGTATTTTTAAAAAGTCTAATATTATAATATGAATAGGTTTAGAGTGTGATAGATATATAAAAGCGGTGTAGATATATAGTGTTTAAATGAATGAATTAATAAGGATAATGTTGAAATGTAATGTGGAAGAATATAATACTTTTTTAGAATTTTAATAAGGAGAGATTTAGAGTGAGATAAATATATAAGGGAGAAATTTAGGGTTTTTTATATTACCAAAAAATTAAAAATTAGGGATAAATATATAATGTGGATGAATATAATACTTTTTAGAATTTTAATAATGTTGAATGAAAATAGGGACGTCCATGGAATATGGAAGAAATTTAGGGTTTTTTATATTACCAAAAAAATTAAAAGAGGAAACGGGAATAGTGACTACTCTTTGGGATTACACCTCAACCCTAATTCCTTAATCCTTATATGAATTTTAGTCTCAATCTCATAACCCTCGAAAACAACATATGAATTGGTAGAAACCAAAACACTCTCCAATGCAGCCATATTTTTCAGGGCCGCCGCCGCCACTACAGCACGGTGGGCTTTATGGAGCCTTCCACACTCTGCAATCCCAAGTCTCCAGCTTCCTCCAGAAACCCCAGAACATCTTCTTCAAAGCGTGCCCAATAGCTCAATCTCCATTTTGGGATGCTTTCAAGAACGTAGTGTACCTGGAGGATAATATTGTTCATAGTAAAAGAATGAAACTAAGGGAGTTGAAGCATAAGGGCACAATCAAGGATTATATTATAGAGTTCACAACACTTATGCTTCAAATCCCTAGAATCTCGGCTGATGATAGACTTAAATTAGCATATGAACTTGAATACTGGGAAAAGCAAGAATTCAACTTTTTTAACCGTAATGGAAGAAAGAATCTTGCCATGTCCGATGAAGAAATTGGACAAAAATTGTGTAAAGTGCCTGTTTATAATGACAGAATTTCTGATACTAGCGTGAGGAAGATTGTATCAGACACAGATAGAACGAAAACTTTTCAAGGGTACTTCTTTAGTAAGGCAGATGCTATGGCTTTGGCGGAGTATGACCGGATGTATACTTCGTCTGAGTTGGGAATTCCCTATGCAGACTCTGATCCACTCAACATCGTAATTATATATGCTTCTTGTTCTTGACGAAACAACCTTTTTTTTTTTCTCTTTCTCTCTCTCTCTCGGGTAGGTTATATATATCTGCTTATAATTTACATTTATTCTGTAGGTTATTGATAAAAATATTGCACCCATGCCCATTAGGTTCATACCAGAGGCGTCTGAAGTGAAAAATGCATTAGAGGTGAGAGTTTGAGCCATGTTTTAAATTTTTGGCTATTAACTTCTAATTTTTATTGCTGTATTGGTAAATGTAATATGTTTCTTTTAGGTAAAAAAGAAGGCAGGTCTTCCCCATAAGAACTTTTCTGGGGTTCCAGTTTTTGAGGTTTTTTTGCTATAACTTAAAGTTTAAACTCAAATTAATTTATATTTGTACCATTTAAATTTTTGTTATTTTCGTTTAACTATTATTTTACTATAATGACTAGCATGTGTTACATATATTTCTTATCTATGTAAACAGCAACTAGATGCTGTTGGTATGCCTAAAACGCTCCCAAAAAAAAAAAAAAAAAGGTTGCTTAAGCTAAATTCTTTATATGTATAAAAAAGTTAAAATCCAAACTCTAGGATAATATGGGTTCTTTCTTCTCTTCGTAATAGGTTTTGGCACGCTTCTTCCAGTTTTCGTTTTCTTCCTTTCATTATTATATTTTAAATAAAATGAGAAGGGATTTGTTAATCAGACCAACCAAAGAGCTTAGGGATTACGAGTTTTTCTACAAGAAAATTTGACATTCTCTAATGTGTTGTAGTCGAGGAATTTGAGTATATGTGAAGGTTATATGACTCGCAACAGTGAAGGGTGCCAAAATCGGAGACGCCTGGTTTTTTTCAAAAAGGTGAGGAAAAACAAATTCAACAACCCTATTCTGGTTAAATTCACCAAATAATTTACATTATATTTATCGTTCTATGTATCTGAAGGAGGACCTAGAAAAGTCTCTGGCAAAAGCAAATGCTGCATGTCATGATGGAAGATCAAATCTTATTGATATGGAGGAACATATAGAGGTCATTCCTTTTTCTTTTTATTTGATTATTGAAAGAAATTAAGCAAAGAATACCAAACTTTCTCCAACGAATGAAGAAATGAAGATGATTAAAACAATGTAAACGGTTGTAAAGAAAATGGAAAAATTCCTTTTTCTTAACTTTGCCTTTGCTCTTCGTAATGTTCGTATATTGTAGAACTTCGTGTTGAATATGCTAATACTATATTGTTCTGATAGGTTGCTGCTCTTGAGAATATTATACAAGCAATGAAGGTAAGGAACTTTCCTCTTGTTCATCTATCGACTAATTTATTTTTGGTGATTCTTTTTATTACAAGTATAAAACTCTCAATTTTTTTGAGCTTTTGGTCCCTTTTCAGATTCCCCCATGCCAGACAACTAGTTTTCGGTCTTATGATGTAAAAGTTCTAAATCAACTTTGTTAGACATCAAATATATTTAAAATATAACATAAAATTTTGCAGGATAGTTCAACCTCAGAGTGGAACAATGTTGTTTTTGCACATCCTGGTGAAGATATTGAAATCTCTCCATCACCCAGAGAGCTTTGAGGATATGTTATTGACTCTATAATTTTCAACAATTAGGATTTTATTTATTTATTTTCGTGCTTCATTGAATTGGAAGTCTTCCCAAAACTTGACTTTGAAATAATTACTTTTATCTTTTGGCATTTGATTTTTCTTACAGAGTGGTTGAATTAATATATCTTTTTATATTTTGGTGTGAAGAATTGATATGTTCTATTGAAGTTCTTACATGTCCCCACTAATTTGAAATGAAAGTTGACTGTGAATTCTTATATTTGTTGAGTTTTGTTGCAATTTCGGTGAATTGCTTTCTGTATTGTTATTTGAATTATGTCTAAGTTGCTGTGTTCGAATTAGCGTGTTTAAGGAGTTTGAGTTCTTAGTATAAGTAGGTTGCACATAAAATAAAATAGGGATGTTTTTCATCAAGTACGTAGGGATGGTTTTCATAATTACTTATCAAGGTAGGGATGTTTTACGCCATTTAGTTTGCAAAGGAATGGATATTTTTGGCGAAGTATTCTGAAAGTTAGGAATGTTACGCGCACAATGTATTACTATGTAGGGATGATTATCACAAAGTTAATTTCATGTGAAAAAGAAATGAACTGAACCAGTTTTATCTCCATTGAAATTTGATGGGCCATCCACCATTGATATCTAGTGGATAATTTACAGCATCAAATTTGCAATTGTTCTTCTCAGTTTACTCCTTAGTTACACCCTTAAGAAGCATAAAATAGGGATGAACGTCTCCAATTTATCGATCACCTATTCAATATCTTCATTTGCCATTCCAAATTTCATAGTAATCAACCATAACAGTAGCCATTGTGTGAACTACAATGTTCTTTATGCCATTTTTTTTTTATCTATTTAATGTAATAATATTATAAATTATTTTCATATTCACATTACTTTTAGTTTTGGAATAACTATTTTGAAGGCGGGAAGAGGGGAGGAAGACTATATTACCCTTCATCTATCAAAAGAAAATTGACCTTTTGTCTTCAGTAAATGGAAATACAAATGATAAGTGGATGAAATGACTTTTTGGCAAGCAAACGTCAAAATAAGGATGAAAATGTCAAAAAATAAAATATAAGAATGTTTTGTGCTAATTAACTGATATTTTTCAATTCAATGAAAGGTCATAATGCAGCTAACACAAGGGAAATCGACTAATAAAATAACTCTGATGTGAGTTCATAAGTGTTATAATTGTTGGAAATTTATTTAATCACGCACAATAAAATTTAAAAATAATTTCAATTTTTATCAATGATCAGCTTTGTATATAGATAGAAACTATGATTAGAATTATATCTTTAGTTAATAAGTAACCAAATTAATTAATTGTACAAATGTGTAACACTTGTCAATTAATTAATTAGAAACATCATTATTCTAATTTTCCTCTTGTGTGTAATCCAATAGGTCACAATCAATTTTTCTTTCAATTTATCACTAATTCACATTCGTCGTCCCAGATTAATATCTAGCAATGTGTCAGAATAACATATCTAACATATCTGATGAAAAACATCATGTGGTATGATAAAACAAAATTTGTTCATTTACCATAAAATTATAAACTATTCGTCAATATGATTCGATCAATTACGAGACTCTTTTCAACTTATTAGTGAAACTCTTTTTAACTTATAAACACACTTTGGCCAAGGATATCATTATGAACTCAACTAAATCAAATGTTGATTATAATCTCTTATTATCCAAGAGTAACGAATTATCTATTGGCCATTCATAGTCCTTATATGATTCTTGACATACTCAAATGATATCGAATCAACGACTATTGGCAAAGCAACATCCAACATCACAATCATTACATGTATTCTATCATACATCTAATATGCAAATAAAACACCTGAAATAATATGGAGGATTATGAACTTATACTATCTAGCCTTTCCGAGCTAAAGGGAAGACTAGTTGGTTAATTCCTAGTGAAAATAATATTGACTCATACAATGTTTCATCTCCTGGTCTCCTCCTCTTCTTGTTTATGCAATTAGTTGAGTTGCAACATGCAACATATAGTAGTTGGCACGAAGACCTAAATAAATTAGACACACAAATAATTACAAAGGACCTGCATGTCCAAAATAAATAAGAGATTACAGGTCCAAAACAACAAGAATTAAAACTAACCATTCAATACATCCATATAATCGAGTTCATAATCGTCCACTAAATATACATTCATCACATAAATACATTCATATATAATATAAGATATTATATATAAACATATTTCAAGTTTCTATAAATTAAGATTGTCAGAGCTAATTTAGATAGAAGGATTAAAATAATTAAATAATCAGATTGATTCTAAACTAATTTAGATAGAAGGATCTAAATAATTAACTAAACAAATTGATCAATTATTTTAATTAGTGGGTTCATTTAACTAAAATTAAATTTTAATTAATTATCAATTAGAATCTAACTCTAATTCTAAAATTTTAGGATGAAGATATTTAATTAAAACCAAATTTTAATTAGAAATTAGAATCCAACTATAATTCCAAAATTATAGGACGGATTTAATTAAAATTAAATTCTAATTAAATATCAAATTATAGTCTTACTCTAGTTTCAAAATATGGGACAAAATAATTTAGTTAAAAGAAAAAATCTAATTAAATACCGAATTAGAGTTCAACTCTAATTTTAAAATTTTAGTATGAATTAAATTAACAGTTTAATTCAAGATAAAACTTCTAAATAAAATAAAATTCTATTTAAGGCCAAAGTTTTAACTTCAAGTTAAAATCCAATTTTAACGCCAATGTAAGAACTTGTGAATTTTAAATAAAATCCTAATTTTTATCAAAATTGAAAAGAGAGGTCAAATCCATTCGAAAATCAAATTTAAATTCTTTTTCAAAATTGTATTCAAAACCAATTTAAAAAATTGCATTTCGATCCAATTTAAAATTGTAAACAGATTGCCCTTCAATTTTTCAAATTGTAGAATAGGCCCCCTCTTACAAATTGAAAACTGAACCCTTGAACCAAAATTAAAGGGAGGGGCTCGTAATTACATAAATTTAAACCCTTGGTGACAAGCAATGTCGCGTCTAACAAAGTAACGACAATGCGTTGTCGATGTCTCACAATGATGGTACACCGCCTGGTATAACAGTATCGCTACCAACAGTAGCGATGCTCGCTGTTGCAATGCTTAACAGTAATTGTTGTCGTTGCAACGTACAGCCATGACTGTTGTCGTTGCATTTGCCCATAGTGCGTTGCGGCGTTGCCTTATGCGTGGTGATGCACTTTGTTGTGCTCATTATTGCCCATGTCCGACGCCTACCATTACCTCTAGATCGTCGTTGATCAACTATTGTTCCTACCCATTTTTTGATCCAAAAAATTATTTTCTTTTTCAAAACAAATATTGAAAGATGAAAATTACATTTCTAAAATAATAATAATAATAAATAAAGAAATAAAATTTCCACAACCGACCATTGATTGCTCCCAAAGATTAAAAAATAATTTCCAACAAGCAAAAAGTAAGTTCTGATATAACTGTTGAGAAATTACTTAATTATGCATAGTGAAATTTAAATATAATTTCAATCCCCAATAATGATCTGTTTTGTGTTTAAATAGAAACTGTGATTAGTATTATGCATTTTGTTAATTATGTGAGGAACAATTATGATCTACTGTCATAGATGTTTAATTATTCACTCTCTTATGGTAATCCACATAAGAGTACAAGAATGAGAAAATGATTTCTTTATATTATTATTTTTTTTTTTAGCAAGATGATGATTGTTTGTTTTGTTTTCTCAACACTAACATCTTCCTAATAGAAGTTCAAGTGGGTTTGGTCCATTACTTAAACTTAATCCAGTCCAATAATTAATTAATTTCATTAACTAAACTTGGTCTAAGTAACCCGATTAATTAATTGTACAAATGTCGAACACTTGTCAATTAATTAATTATTAATATCATTCATTTAGTTCTCCTTTTCGTGTGTAATCCATTAGATTCTCAATCATGATATCTAATGACGTAAATTAATACTTTGATCTAATCAAAAGAGATAAATTTAACTCCCTTTTAATTTATCATTAATTTACATGTGACGAAAATTTCACATAATATAACAAAACTAAGCCTGTTCATTTACTGGGAAATTATAATTCATTTGTCAATATGATTCGATCAACTAGAGATATGAAAGTGTTTCATCTCATTAATTGATTATATTTTTCATCCCACTCTTAAGTCAATATTAGTCAAAAACTCTTAGTCACTAGAATTTGGGTCAACCTACAACAAATACATTTCAAATCCCATTCTTAGTCACCTTTCTCCATTTTAAATTTTTGACTGACTATTTTTTATAATTCTAAACCTCTTAATAAAATTTGTTCATCTATTGACCATATATAAGTTAGAATTGGCCTAATGAGGATTACATTTCAATTTTAGTACACTTCAAACAAAATGAAACATAGATAAACATCTCGAAAATTGCAAGAATTGTCATCAAAGCTTTGAAAACCTAATTACCAAAGGGTGAAAAATTTGTCTATTACGCATCACAATATGAGGTTCCAGAAATCCAACATGGCAAGCAAACTTAGGGCCCCACATTTCACATCAAAGTGCTACAAAGTAGTTTTGATCGAACCATGTGAAGAGGCCGAACCAATGTGGATTTATCAACCCAATTAGATTATATCGACCTCGTCGGGAAGAACCGAACTAGAATAACGGGAGAGGTTGCAAAAAGGAGCTTGGCTTGAGATCTTTTAGGCAATCCTTAATATGTGATTGATGTAGTAATTCACTGCTACCACCGCCCTTTCTAGCTAATCAAGTCAAGTCTAAAGTAGCAAGGTAGATATTATGGACAATAAATTGGTATTAGCATCTAATTTTTATGATTAATTGAAGTCTCTCACAAGAGACACTAGCAGCACAAATGATGCCACGTGCCTCTTCATCTAGTGACTTTTATTCATCTTTTCCCTACTATAAAAGCTAACACTTAGTGC